CTCCTCTCTGTCAACAGGTGTGTTCCCCACCGCATTCAAGCAAGCTCGGGTCACCCCTCTGCTCAGAAAACCCACACTAAACCCAGCCCAGGTTGAAAACTACAGACCGGTTTCTCTTCTGCCCTTTCTGTCAAAAATACTTGAGAGCACAGTCTTTAAGCAAGTCTCTGAGTTCCTGTCCAGAAACGATCTGTTTGACCCAAATCAGTCAGGCTTTAAGCGGGGCCACTCTACTGAAACTGCACTACTGTCAGTAACAGACTCGCTACGAGCTGTGGGTCAGTCCTCAGTTCTATTATTGCTAGACCTGTCTGCTGCCTTTTACACAGTCAACCATCAAATCCTCCTATCCACACTCTCTGAACTTGGCATCTCAGGATCTGCCCTCTGCTGGTTTGTGTCCTATCTCTCTGGGCGATCCTTTAGAGTGTCGTGGAAGGGAGAAGTGTCCAAAGCGCACAGCTTATCCACAGGGGTACCTCAAGGGTCAATGCTTGGTCCCCTTCTCTTCTTCATATATACAAGCTCACTTGGTTCAATAATCCGCTCTCATGGCTTCTCATACCACTGCTATGCTGACGATACCCAGCTCTTCCTGTCATTCCCGCCAGACGATGTTACAGTCTCTACAAGAATCTCGTCATGCCTTGCTGATATCTCTAAATGGATGAATGAACGGCACCTTCAACTCAATCTTTCAAAGACTGAGCTCCTTGTCATCCCAGCCAGTCCCTCTATGCAACCACAGATCAATATCCAGCTTGGAACAACCAAACCCATGCCCACAAAGTCTGCCCGGAACCTGGGTTTCATGATTGATGACCAGCTAACTTTTAAGGTTCAAGTAGCCTCGATTTCCCGGTCATGTCGATTTGCCCTGTACAACATCAGGAAGATCAGACCTTACCTGTCAGAACAAGCTACACAGCTCCTGGTACAGGCTCTTGTGATATCACACATCGACTATTGCAACTCTCTACTGGCAGGTCTTCCTACATGCACTATCAAACCTCTGCAAATGATACAAAATGCAGCAGCACGACTGGTCTTCAACCTTCCTAAAAGAGCACATGTCACTCCGCTGTTCATCTCCTTACACTGGCTCCCAGTTACTGCTCGCATCAAATTTAAAACTCTGCTGCTCGCTTACAAAACAGCGACAAAAACGGCTCCTCCTTACTTTAGCTCTCTCATCCAGGTCTACACTCCCTCCCGCCCACTACACTCTGCCAATGAAAGGCGTCTGATCCAACCTTCACAACAGGGTCCTAAGTCTCTAACTAGACTCTTCTCCTCTGTCCCCCCCCGTGGGTGGAATGAACTTCCAAACTCCATTCAATCTGCAGAGTCCCTCTGTACCTTTAAGAAAAAGCTAATGACCCAGCTGTTTCATGAATACCTACTAACTTAATGATGATGGTCTCCATATTATTGATGATGATGATGGTTGTCATGATTGTTTTTGATTGATAACGATGACTTATAAGATGGTTTCTACACTGATTAGAGCTCTCAAGAACTGCCGTCAATGTTGTGCTTATTCTGGTCTCGTGCACTACATCACTTTATTCTATCCCTTTTATATCAGTAGTCATACAGTTCTGCTAACTTTATTCCTGTTGTTTCTTATCCATCATTGCACTACGGTCACTTTATTTATCTAATTTTTACCTTACAAGTTATATTGTATATATTAGTTCTGTTGTTCCATTATTCACCATGCACCTTAATAACTTATCATTTAGTATTTGCCTACTTACACATAGCTCTGTATATATATATTTATTTCTCGTTTACTGCATATAGTTCTGTTTACATCTGGTCACTACTGCACATAGTTCTGGATATATATATTTATTTCTCGTTACTGCACATAGTTCTGTTTACATCTGGTCACTACTGCACATAGTTCTGGATATATATATTTATTTCTCGTTACTGCATATAGTTCTGTTTACATCTGGTCACTACTGCACATAGTTCTGGTTACATCTGTTAACATCTGTTAGTCCGATCACTGTCCACTTATATCTACTCTTTTATATTTTGTATTTTTAAGTTAAGTTTAAGCTTTAAGTTGTATTTAAATTGACACTTTATATTTACGTTAAAATGTTTTGTTTACTTGCACTGTTGTTAATTTACTGCTCTGTGTGCCTTTGAATTGCCCCCCGGGGACAAATAAAGTTTTTTGAATTGAACTAAATTGAATTGCTTTGCCTCTGGTCACTTCCTGTCAGCACCTGTGTGTCCAATCAGACTCAAAGCTGATCGTTTGCTCTTACTGACATTGTTCCCTTTTTTCTAGATCCTTGTTTGTGTTGTACTTACTCTCTGATGTACGTCGCTTTGGATAAAAGCGTCTGATAAGTGAATTGTAGAATTGTAGAATTTCACTTGATTACTTCCTTTTTTTAAAACCTTTTGTGTTTTCAAACAAAGACTGTCAAATGATTTAAATATTTAATCGTGATTAATCGTTACATTTTAATAGTTAATCTCAATTAATCAGGTTTTAATTCACATGTTTGAAATGCTATTATTTAGGCTTTTATTTTAGAATCTTGTCCTGTCTTAAGCTCAGAGTCCTTTACTTGCTGTGTGTTTTTATTTTGAAATAAAGTAAGCCCCCCCCCACAGTAGACTTAATAACAGAAACATCAAAAAACACTGGACAGCACTTGTGGTTCGATCCCAGGGAGGGATGGAGAGCAGTTTTTCTACAGGAGAAAATGTGTTCGAAGTAACCACTGAGCTAAACCAGTGCAACTTCAAGAGACAGAAACAGAGGTGATAAAGACAGCTGGGATCTGGTTCATAGAGAAGAGAATAAAGTAAGGAGCTTCTGGTAGATGGAAGGTTAGGACAGGAAGTTAAACACAGAAACAGGAAGTGGTTAGGCATCCCAAACTGACGTCAAACAGCTCAAAGGAATGGTAACAAAGGTAATGATGTCATAAGGTGGATATTACTTTGGACTCGTCAGCTGAACTGTCTGAGAGTTTGTTAAGGTGAAATGAGACATTCAAAGATGCAGCAGTGTCCTTCTTTTACATCACTGAGACTACAGGGAGACACTGAGGACCACTATCTACGGTGAGCCTGAAGGGACAAAACAACATGAGATTAATTAATGCATTAATGACAGACCTTTATTAATCCTGATTAACTAGTTAATGCTGACAGACCTTAAACATTCATACACACACATATATATATGGATATATATATATATTTAAGTTTATTTTTATTTTACTTTGTAATATGACATCATCTGTCTCCTGCTTGAATGCAAGTTGTTTGCATCTGTGTCTGTTTGTTTGTGAACTTTAAGGTGAAGTGTTTCTAATGACGGTTAAATAACAACAATAAAGTCTTCCTCTTCTCTATGAACCAGATCCCAGCTGTCTTTATCACCTTTGTTTCTGTCTCTTGAAGTCGCACTGGTTTAGCTCAGTGGTTACTTCGAACACATTTTCTCTGTAGAAAAGCTGCTCTCCATCCCTCCCTGGGATCGAACCACGGGCGCTGTCCAGTGTTTTTTGATGTTTCTGTTATTAAGTCTACTGGGGGGGGGCTTACTTTATTTCATAATAAAAGCACACAGCAAGTAAAGGACTCTCAGCTTAAGACAGGACAAGATTTCAAAATAAGCCTAAAGAATAGCATTTCAAACATGTGAATTAAAACCTGATTAATCTGGATTAACTATTAAAATTTAACGAATAATCACGATTAAATAAACCAGTGCAGAAACTCCTGGAGGAAACAGATCTTATGAAGGCTGCGACTGACTGTGAGCCGTCTTTAACAAAACCCCGGTCAAGCCAGCCGCCGCTTAAAATATGATGCGCCTCTATACCAGGAATTACGGTACGGGTGCTTGGAACGCCCAAAAAGGAGTTATGCGGCCGCGTATTTTGAAAACTTGTTTTAGAATATGAAATGAAAATAAAATAAAAATGTAGTTACAACTATTGTAATAGCCCTTTACATTTTAAGTCTGTTTTATTTAATAGTTTTTGAGGTAATTTAAGTTGAATTTTCCTTAATTTCAATGAGAATTTTGATATTTTGGTCATATTCAATATTTTATTTTGAAAAATCTGTGACAGGCGACAAGAAACGTTCAATATATTCTTGTTCCTCGTGTCCCTGGCTGTGTTCATGAGAATTTTCAGCAGATTTTACTGTATAGTTTTTGAGAAAATAAAGGTAAATTCTGCTCCAAATGCACTGAGACACTTTGATATTTTAGTCCTATTCAATATTTTAAATTTAGCTAAACCAGTGCGACTTTAAGAGACAGGAACCGAGTGAGAAAGGCAGCTGGGCACTATAAATGATAATGCCAACAATCTCAGGTATGTCCGATAAGAGAATGTCATCTTTGAAAGTGAATGGAATACTATTGTACTTAAAAAAAAATAATTATTTATGCAGATTAAAATAAAAACGAGATTCTGCTTGAGGTAAGTAAAAGCAATTTGCTCAGTTGAGTCAAGCTCTCAAAAGTAAAAAAAAAAAAAACATCAGAGCGGAACCACCCACTGAAAACTTTTGTTTCTGCTGAATAAAGGTTAATTAGTGTACTACACTTCATTTTACAAACACAACACTTTGTCTTCAAATATACGAAAATATCCTTCTTTGTTTTTCTGAAATATGATGGTCAATAACAATTTTATAAACCGAGAGATAATCAAACAAAAAAAACAAAGAAAAGTTTAAAAAAATGTTTTTTATTGGCAGCCCCTTGGCTTTTGCTCCCGGTACTGTTCTGGAGAAGTTCTGACCCCCACAGTGTATCTTGACATTATTGTTAGACTTGCATGATTTACAGCGTTTCATGTTGAGCACAGGATGTTTTATTTTGTTAACTGCCTCCCTGAGAATATGTGACGTCGTCATTAGTCCCGCCCTTGCTGCTGCCTGATTGGTTCAACAAAACCGTTCTGTGTTCTAATTGGCTGCCCATTACACAACACTGTTCCGCAAATCTAGTCTGTTTGTGTTTTGACGTTTTTGGAGAGCTCGTCGGACCATCACACACAGGTCCATTTAAGACACATCAGCGCTCAGCGAATCGGTTCGTAAACACAACCGCTGTAATGTAATGTCCGACTGAAACATGACACACGAAAGTCCCGCTTTAAGGCTTCAACTGTGTCGTTTTATTCCTGCCAGAGGAGTTTTATCAGCTAATGCTAGCTAGCTGAAATTAGCATCAATATAACTTCACCGTTAGCCAGTGGCTGTGTTGTGTTGACTTGGCAGTTGTCACAATTGCTGCTCGTATTAGTCCACAGGCTGATAGTTGTGCAAGCTAGCTGAGTAAACCTAAGATAACCAAGCCTCTCAGTGTGTTTTTAGCTCCTCTATCAGCATGTAAACAATGTAAACTGCATGTAGCCCTGTCCACACTGTTGTTGTCATCTCGACATGTTTCACCAGCTTCATAGCAACATCTTCATTACACTCCTCTGAAAGATATGACAACTTTATCTGGCATCACAGCAGGTTTAATTCATCAAAACCTCATGACATAAGGTAGCAGGGTTTCTGGAAGGTTAAAATGTGAACTTCAAATGCAGGGTGATTCCAATGTGTGGCATTTATGTTTGAGTTTGTCTGACAACGAAATCATTTTCACAAGTGAACTATCTGATGGCACATGGTTGCATTTCCCTGGTTCCAGCCATTTACCAATAATCTGGGTCTAGTCATGCTGCTTGCTGACAAACTGCAAATCAAATTGGTGTTATAAGGCTGCCAAATCAACCCTGTTACTGATGAGAACATGCTGTACTAATCTGTTTCTATATTGTTGAATTTGGGATGGAAAACATGAATCAGTCAGTACACTAGTACGAATAACTACAGTCTCAAACACAGTATACTTTGTATTCATTTTTAGGTTTAATTTGAACAAACTGAGCAGTTTATCAGCAAAAAAAAGGAACATGACAACAGTTTGTAAACTCATGGCTTTTTGGGGTTATGAAAAACTTAGAATAGCAAAGTCTTCTCTGCTTCAAGCTACACATATGTAAGGATTTACTAGTCTTTGTTTGGCTTTTTTTGCTGTCAAAGCTGTACATTTAAACAAGTTAGCATTATTCATGTCAGTATGTGATTGCTTTTTTCACGTTATTTATTTATTTTTTGGTGATTTAAGGTAAAGCATAGTGATGATTTTGAATTTGTTTTAAAGCAGTAAGAGATGCAGATTTAGAGGAAGACGTCACTGGTTTGGTTTCTGTGTTGCTCCTTCTTTGATTTTGCTCTGATATGACTTTGCAAAGGTAACCAGAGTGCTGTCTTAAAGGAATAACTTTTAATGATAAAATAATGGCAAACAATTTAAGTAAGATCTTGTGATCAGCTGTGGTACTCGGGTTCATACTGTACGTGCTACAGGCAGAGCTGAGAGGATTGTAAACTATGAGCGTCTGAGCGCTGTTTTCTGAACAAACTAACTGATGACACAGTTTCTAAACCACTCCAAACATTGTTTTCTTCAGTATATGTTTTTTTTTTAGAAGTGGTGTGCCCCATAAAATAAGAATACTTGTTAACATAGTGTGCTTAAATTATGGCTTTATAAAGCCAAACGTATACCAGCATCTTCTTCCCATCATCCACATCATAGATTCTCAGAATAGATCGATTATTATCCCAACCTCTAAATGCTCAGTCAGTTACATGAGTTAGCAGGTACAATTTAGTTTGTTGTTTTGCTTGTACGCTGTTGTCATGTTAAAATGCTCTGTTTTTCCTTTGTAGGATCAAAAGAGAGAAGACATGGCCTCAGACTCTCCACGCAGACCAAGCCGCTGTGCTGGAGGGGTTCTGGTGCGAGCACAAGCTGCTACGTAAGAACTGCAATCTGCAAACTTCTTTCTTCATAACACAAAAAAAGATATACTGTCCATTGTGCATTTAATTGTTCTTAATGCATTATCATCAGAGTTGACATGCACTCTTTGCTGTCACAGGGAGCAGTCTTACATGGAAAGTGTGGTGACCTTCCTGCAGGATGTCGTCCCCCAGGTACCTTTTTGCTTTCATTCATTCACTCACACAAACTGTGGTTGTATGCTTGTGTCCTAATATCCCAATTCTGCATTGAATTGAGTGTGTACAGCACAAGTTTGTTACTGTGTTCTGTTTTAATGCAGCCCTATGGGGGCTAGCAACAACCCACAATTTGATCTGTCCAGTAAAGCACATGCGACAGCTTAACAAAGTCAAAAGGATGGGGTAGTAATAAGACACAAAAGTGACTAGATATTTAACAAAGGACTGAATCAACTCGACAGCACATAACCCCTGAGAGGCACCACGCAGCAGTCCACACCTTTAAAGCCTCTCCCCTCCTGAACTTAGCACTGGGCTTTAAAGCACTGAGGCCAGGTGCACCTCGCTGAGTAACAACAGAGGTGGCGCTCTGTATTGTAATTTAATTAGCAGCATTAACTTCATTCATCTGTTTTGACGTATTCATGTTTTCATGTATTGTAATGCCACCTAGCCATTGTTACTTTTTCAGATACATTTTACGCCAGAGGTTGAGTCAAAGGCTAAAAAACATTTAATGTCAAAGTTCCCGAAAAATCAACAAGCCAATCTTTTTTTAGTTACAGATGCATCGTTTCAAAATGCTTGAAATGTACAAAATAAAAATGAGTAGGGCTGCACAGTATACAGTTTAATCATGCAATTGCTATGTACACATGTGTACTGTAGTCACATCTAAGTGCATTGTCATTTGCCAGTTTATTGGTTTTAAAACTACTGTATTTCTCCATATCACAAGAAAGGAGGTTTACCCCATGCTGTTTTCACACTTGCAAAAAACTCCTTAAAACTACCTGAAATTTTCAAATGTTTCAGTGTGACTTTGCCCAGACTTTTTCCTGCCAGCTCCCTTGTAAATTCACTGTGAAGTCATGGTGAGCTGATGTATCCTGTTGTTTTGGTGAACATTTTTTCTGACTGTCTTTTGTGTTTTTCACTCTTCAGGCGTACACAGGAGCGCCACCCACTGATGAAAAGGAAAAAATCATTTGGGTTCGATTTGAGAAAGCCGACATCAATGGTAAGTCTTTACCTGTCAAAACAACTTCATTTGACATGCACGGGTCCCTTCAGGGTTCTAGCTGATGTTGCATTAAAATAATGTTTTGTTTCTTCCATAGAGCTGCTAGTTTGTCTCTTTTTCCTCTCACTGTCTCTTCACTCTGCTCCGCCTCTCTCCCTCTCTGAGCAAAACACAAAAATAAAAAACCTACAGCTTTATTATAACAGTGTATTTTGTTATGCAGGAAAGGAACATTTTGAATCTATGTTTTTTTTAATTTTTATTAAGAAGCCTTTTTATATAAAATGTTTTACGTCATTTCTCTTGTACATGTTGATGTTACTGTATGCAGCTGGGAGATTTGGCCCATGAGAATTTTACCTTGAACTGACTTTGTTTTTCTTTACTCTTCACACCGAAAAAATATAGATATCAATCTCGGGTATCTTCATTCAGCTAAAAATATCCAGATATGATTTTTGGTCCACATCGCCCAGCACTACTATTACATATACAGATATTAGGGATGCAACAATACTGTCAGCCCACGGTTCAATACGTACCTCGGTTTTTTGGTCACGGTTCGGTTCGGTTCAGTTCTGATGGCCCGGGCCGTTAAAGTGTTTCCAGTGTTAATTGTTTTCAGCAAATTTTACAGAATAGCAAGGCATAAAGAAAGACAGCTACTTTTTTCATTTTAAAACTATTTATTTTACTTTGAAGCAAAAACTAATTGATACACATTCCTTGTGTATGGTGTATTGTATGGTATAAAATAAACAAAACTATATAAAATATAAAATAAAATAACACTTCCAAAGGACAAGTGCTTAACCCTGACAGCCCACAGCTGCCGGTAGCCCATATACAAACTAGGGAAATATTAATTCAAAAGTAAAATAAATAATAAACAAAAATTCACTACTTTCAATTAACAAACCTGTACTTCAGTAAACATAAATTGGCCATTTTAAATAAATAAACCTGTACTTCAGTAAACTTAAATTGGCCATTTTAAATAAATAAACCTGTGCTTCAGTAAACTTAAATTGGCCATTTTAAATAAATAAACCTGTGCTTCAGTAAACTTAAATTGGCCATTTTAAATAAATAAACCTGTACTCAGTGGCCTACATTAAGATTGTAAAGCGCAGTATCAGTTTGGTCAGCTATCTATTCCTCTATTTTGAGGTTCTTCTGTAAAAAGATAAGCTTGTCGACATTCTCTGCAATAAGGCGAGAGCGATTTGCACTTACAATGTCACCTGCAGTGGAGAAAATTCTCTCACTTGCAACAGAGGTTCCCTGGACACAGAGGTGTTGTTGTGCAAGTTTTGCTCCATGGGGGTACTTGCATATGTTTGTTTTCCACCACATGAATGGATCAGCATCCACATGAATGCAGTCTGCCAACTTGTATGTGGTGACTTCCTCCTCAACGATCTGGGCAATGGGCCTTGTCTGTTCTGAAGAGCTCCCCAAAAAGCTCTGACATTGCAGTCTTCTTCTTGGGAGGGGGAGAGGATGTATTTTCTTCCCTTAGGTATGGCACAGGACTCTTTGCTTGACCCTGTGTTACAAAGAGAATGGCCCTTTAATATAATTACACAGCTACAGTGTATAACATATTACAATTTTTAAAATATCAGTGACAACAATACATCTAATTATATGTAAAAACAATCAAACCACATTTAAAAAATAAAAACATGGTAATCAAATAATACCTGCTGTTCATGCTCCAGAATTTCATCGATGAGATTCCTGAAGAGCCTGTCACGAATGTTGTCATCAAGGTAAGGCAGGGATTTAAACCTGGGGTCCAGGGCTGTGGCCTTTTGGAGGTAGTCATGAAGATCAGGGTCAATATACCTCCTTTCCAGGTCATTTCTTATGGCTGCTTTGGCTTCTTTGACTGTTGCACTGTCATCACCTCCTGATGACATGGATTTGAGAAGAGGAAGGATCATTGATAATGGTGGGGGTTGTTTCACTGCTCATGAGAGTTGTCACTGATTTCAGTGGTTTGAGTAGTTGAATCAGTGCTTCTGCAAGTTTCTGCTCACTATCACTCAACATTGCTGTGTCCTTGACAGACGTTTTCAGACCTTTGTCCAGTAAGGCAGAATAGATGGCGGGCTGCTGTTCTGTGTATCTTTCTCAACATGTCATGTATTGTATTCCACCTAGTTGTGACATCATGAATTAACTTGTGTCTTGGCAAGTTTAACATCTCTTGCTTCACAGTCCAAACGTGGTGGGCAGTAGTGCTTTTGTGAAAAAAAAGTCAAAAGTTTTCTGACCTTCCCCAGGAGACGGGACACGGAGTTGATTGACACTGCTTTCTTGGCTGCAAGGTTGATGACGTGCGCAAAGCAACCAATCTGTGGCCCCAGTCCATCAGCTTCACGGATCACATTGACGATATTGGCTGCATTATCTGTGGTTACAGGGAGTGACGTGTTTGGCCTCTCCAACTTCCACATATTTATTGCATTTGTTAACTCCTGTGCCAAATGGGCACTTGTATGACTTTCATACAGCGGACAAATGTGCGAGAGGGTAATTTGTAACGTAGATCCAGCGTATTTATAAGATGACGGAAGCCCACATCTCTAACAACCGAAAACGGCTGCAAATCCCTGGTGATGAATACTCCCACTGCCTTTGTTATTTTTTTGTGTTTCTCTGGACAAGTGGGGTATGTCTGAACGAACAACGTTTACAACGTATCCAAGATGGTAAATGAAGCAGCCTAATCTGACTTCGTTTTTACCTACATATCAGTGTTACGCAACATTGGACGTGTTCACAGTATGAGTCTGATATGTGGAAAAGAACTTTCTGGCAGACAGACAAGAGAATAAAGCAGCTTTATTATGTGCATGTATAGGATATAAACGTCATCACTCTCGCTCACTCACATTGGTTTGCCCCAACTTCCTGTGGAAATGTTACAAGTGGGCTAGCAGGAGAAAGTCCAGATAAAGTCGGGTTGAAGAATCCGTCTGTTTGTGTTCTCAGTTGCAGTCAGCCAGAAGATGTGGGGACATGTTTTAGGACTAATCTGCATTTCTGAACGGATCGAAGAAGTACAATATGATGTGATAGAACTTAAAGAGATCTTTTTATGGTAAATGTATTTATGCATAGAATAGAGAGTGGATCAAATAATTTATGATGGTAGGATAGTCATTAAAACACATACAATACATAGTGTCCTAGTGTTTCATAATGTAGCATACCCTTTTGCTGAAGTTCACTGAATGTCTCACTTTTTGTTTGCACAGACACGGCCCGCAATCCAGAGTTTCTGGAGATGCACAACGGTACGAGCGAGCCTCCTCTCTGCCTCATGATCGGCTACACTGACGGGATGCAAGTCTGGAGCGTTTCTGTAAGTCACACACTCAGAGACATAAAAAAAACTACAACCATGTTCATTTTCTACCTGGACCTGTGATCCAATTTAACGATAAGTTTAAACTTATATGTGTGCGCAATATGGAGCAATACTTTGCTACTTTTCTTTAAAAAAGGGCTTTTTTGACCCTTCAAAATAAAACACAGAAAAAGTCCAAGGGTTATATTTCAGGCAGGTATGATGACATATCAAGGAAACAAAAACTTGGATGTGCAGCTCACTGAAAACGTGTCAAATGTTTTGTCATACAATCTCCTACTCTGTCATAAGATAACAGACTATTAAAGTCACAATAACAAATCCAATAGACCTGAATTTGATTTAATGGCGGCAGTAGTGTGTAGGGACTTGGGTTGGGAATGGGAGGGTCACTGGTTCAAGTCCCAATGCGGACCATAATATGCCAGGGCACTTTCTGAGTACTGCTTGAGGTGCCCTAGAGCAAGGCACAGAACCCCCAACAGGTCTGTTGCGCTCCCTGCGTAGCAGTGTGTAGCAGCCCCACTAATGATTGTCCACAGGTCAGGTATTGAACTTTTAGACTTATGTCAATAGACCGTCCTTACAATTGATTGATTGTCTGAGAAAGAATGTAAACATTAAGTCTTTACTGGGATCAAAAGTCTAACTCTGGTCAGATCATTTTCTGAACCAGGACCTACAGGGACATACCAAGTAGCTGGAAAAACAAAACAATGAAGATCCTTTGCTTAAGGAGACAATAAAGGAAGCATTGACGCTCCTTCACATTTTATTTGGAGAATTTGAACTACACTTCCATGTTGTTTCACTCAGCCAGGAGCGTTTCTAACCATAAAGGACTATTCGAACGCACCCTTAGCTGGTCAGCTGCATTTTCTACTTTTGTCCACTAGATGGTAGTGTTGACCATGTTATGAACAGAAATTGTTCAAGTGTCGTACTTTACCTCTTAGGTCAGGCCTGAAGCTTTTGTTTCTGAAAAAAGGTGTAACTAAAGCACAAGAGGAGGTCATCTAAACATGAGAGCAGGTAGTGTTATCTTTTATTGACAGCCTGTGCAGAAGATGAAATAATAATGTTAAAGGTTTAGTCTGCAGATGGAAACAATATTGTTTAAGTTCAGACTCCATAATCCATTAGAATTCTCTTTTTTTAAAACTTTTATTTCACTATTTTGTTTAGTTACAGTCAGCTGTACAGAGAGTCTCATAGATGACAAACTATGAACACAAATATGAATGTGATTAAAACAAAACTCTACACAAGCCTCTAATATTCAAATCTAAACAAGCATATCCATATGCACCTGTTTATTTGATATAAATTATCTGAATTATTCTTACCAATTACAGTTGTTAAATGTAAATATAAAAATAAATTTGTCTTTGATATATTGTCATGATAATATGGAAATAAAACAAAATAATAAAAATCAACTGTCTTGTGTAGCATCTTACATTAAAGACATGCTGATCAGAGTGCGGACGATTCATGAGCTTCAGTTTTCCCGTGAAAATATAAGAAATTCATCATTTTAAATCTGGGATAAAAAGAAAAAGATGCATAACATACGATGAAAATTGGAAACCACTTGACAATATTAAGAAAAAATGGAGAAAATAGAAGACAAAATCGAGAGAAAAAGAAAACCATATTAAAACAAAGCTGTAATAATCATTTTGATGATTATGTGTTAAAAGAAAGTCAATAAAAAGGTAATTTGTCATTTTCTATGTTATTATATTACAAGATAAATAATGAGGCCTTAACGCTGATGTTAACTATCTCTTCAAAATTCAGGAAAGGATGCACTTAATAGAATGTACTTTATTACTTCTAATATAAATATTTATATTTTCTACTTTTTAGAGATGCACCGTTCAGTTCTGGTCTGATTCTGATACACGTACGGATTCCAATATTTTTACATCATAACTAATAATGTTATTGTTGTTGTTGGTAGTATGTGTGAGGCTACACAGAGCTGCAGTAAACCCGGCATTTCATTGTGCTGGATTCACATACAAACAGGAAGCAGTAGAACTGTACTTTTGATCGTAAAGAAGGAGCTGTCTCGTCTGAACGTCGTCATGGAGATGATTTGTGGACACTTAGTTCAGTTTGATCGTCTTCAGAGTGAGACTGTATGAATGTATGAAGTGCCCAACCATATTTCTTGATCAGCGCCGTCAGTCTGATATCTGATACGTAAATTACGTCAATGTCGGACCCAATACCGATATAAGATCGGATCGGTCCCATCTCTATCTATTATTTTTTATGTTGTTTTCTCTACATTACTTTTGTATTACATGCTGTATAATGGGCTGGAATCCTGTCTGATACTGTACATATCTGTATCTGAACACTATAAATAAACATATTAAGTCATTTTATTGTTCTTTAAACCATAATGTTTCTTCACTCTTAACCCTCCTTTTTCCAACTTGTCCACAAGAGGGAGACCTTCTGATTTAAGAATTAAAGGACTGATTTTGGTTAACTCTGATATTTACAGGTCAAATATCATTAATCATATATTAAAAGGAAAGACATCAAAACAAATGTCACAAAGGCATTCATACTGTAATTACTGCAATATATAAGCCTCCTTTGTTTATTATTTATTCATTTTTGCAAGCTGCATGCTGAAAGGCTTTTTTCTTACGACTGGGCACGTCTTAAACCGCATTAAAAACTCCTCCCAAACCAAATGTGCACAAAGTCTTATTCAGTAAATTCATTTCTTTAAAGTCCAAAAACTTGGAAAATCATTAGACGCTTGTGTCGGCTCTGTGATTTAACAAATTGTCCACAATGCTGCAAAAGGCTTCGCACACCGAGTATCGCCTTTCATGTCGGGGCTGTCACTGAAACATGCAAACTTCACATACATCCTGTGAGATCTAAACACACCAAAGTCCTTAATCAGTCTCTTTATAAACATCCACAGACCTCAGGGAAGAGGACACATTTTACCCGTGAACACTGTGATGTGGCAACTTCTGCGCTTCTAGACGATTTTTTTTCTGTGTTGGTGGAGAAGAGGCTTATAAGCTTGCCCAGATGAACTTGACACCGATTCTGATTCAGACATCGCAGTTCGCCTTGTTATCAAACGCTCTCCTCCCTCTTTGTTTCTCTTTCAGTTTTTCAAAGTTTACGGGATGTTTCTGGCTTGTGTGTTTTCGCAGGGTTTTAAGTAAGCACAGAAGGTGCCCCGCTCTGTACCTCTTGAGTGGCCCGTGAAGTGTTTGTGACAGTTGCCAAGCCGACACCCTCTGTAATGGCCTAGCGGAGCACGGATATACACGTGTACATGCAACACTTTCACACGCTGGAGAGATGGGGACTTGTGATTGGTTGTATAGATGCTGACAGAGCTGTTTAGGAGATGTAGATTACTGTCGCCTCACACTGGAGAGGTGTCATCCGCCTCAGCCTGATAGGAGGCAGACTGTGGAGGACTAATTGCCTGTCTGCGTACGTGTTGAAGTGAAATGACCTCCTTGGAAGAAAAGTGTCTGCAGAAAGTGTTGGTGGACGTCCTGGAGCTGAATCACACAAATGTCCATAATCCTGTTTCAAACACAAGTTCTAAATATATGAATTAAGAAAGGACATTTCTGCAAATCAGACACTAGTGTTTCAGCTGTAAACAGGTTTCACCAAGCTGTAAAAATTACAGTGCACAATGTTTATTTCCTTAAGTTACTATATTGAATTCTACCTCTAATACACATTTCAAACAGGCAAGAGTAGCTCATATAGCTTTGTCGCTCTAGCTACCATATGTTTGATCATTCTCAGTAATGTCAGCACTTCATCAGATGAGGAGCCACAGGCTGGATTCTAACCTGGGCCGATGCTTCGAGGACAACAGCCTTTGTACATGTGGCAGGTGAACGAACCATTAGCCCACCTGCACCCCGGAAATGAAGGCTTTTTTAATTGGATATTGGCAAAAATCCCAAATGGAAAATGTTTACCACTTCAGCTATTCACTGCACAAAATACAAACTTGCAGTCTGAACAATTAGGAATATTCATTAAAATTAAAAACTGCATGTTTTACATTAAACATACTTATCCAAGATTGCTCAGTGAGGGTGTACATTTTGAAAAGCATTGTATTTTATGTTTTCAAGTGTCTATAAGTAGGTATAATAATACTTACATTCAACCACAAAAGCCTACAGTTCAGGCGGAAGAAAGTGTTTTCATATGAGAACCAAAATGTGTGCACAAAGGTTTTGATCTCTTTCATAATTCTTCTCTCCTTTACTCCTCAAACTTACATTTCTGTACGCTCAATGCAGTTTTTTTTTCTTTTTTTTATGGATAAAAGCTTGATTGGAGGAAACTGATAAATACAATTGCTATAAAAACAATATTTCAAAAGGTATATATATACTGCAGTTATATGAAAAAGTGCATATTAGATGATGAATTAGCATGTGTCAGAAGGAAAATATCAGTAGATAAGATGTGCAAAAATCCATGCATCACTACGCTTACTTAACTCTGCATATGAGCACATTCAGTTTCAGAGTTTCAAATACAGAAAATGATTTGGCAACAAGTGTCAAAGCCGAGATGCACAACTCTGCACAGCTGATCCTCACTGACTGAAATCGAACTGTCCCTGCACGGACTGACTGAGAATGTACAAGTTAAATTTTGGATCCTGAAATGCCCCACATAATAAAAACAATCAAGTTTATTTGAGTGTTTTTAAAGCTCGATATGACAGGCTTTGCATACTCATAACATTGTATTCCTGCATGTGATGAAAGCTCACAATAAGCACCTGTTACGGCGCCTATCCCTGAAGCACCTGCTCCCTCCAAACCCTCCAATATGTCCCTGCGCTGTGTTAGCGAGCGGACTGGCTTGTGAATATGGCCCACATATCCGTTCACAGCTTATGGCATTACATTTGAGAGATTAAAACAGAAGAGCAGACACTGTGATTCCACAAAAAAAACACACAGACACACAAACACACAAAAAAAAACAATCCGAGCCACCAAATGAAATGAATATAATGAATAACTGTGCGCTTGGAAAACAACTTTGAAAAAAGCAATTTGGCATATTGCATACGCCGGGACACTAATGTAATGGCGTGAATGTTGTTGATGGCAGTTGATGTCACACAGAGCCATGTAAGGCGAGGATGAGCGACGGGGTAATGCACAATAACCCGGCGCATTAACCTCCTGCCCTCCCCCGTTTTATTTTAATCCAGCAAATTCCATTATTCCCCCCTCGCAGGTCCATTTGCCTGTGTAGGAATCCAACCCTGCTGCCAACCTCCTTTTATTCCTGGTATCAGTGCTCGTATAACCTGCTCGTGTCTCCAGTGTTAATCTACCACCGCCGGGGCCCCGAGCACTTTGAATAAAAAACACAGCTCCAAATCCGCCACTTTGCAAAGGCTACTAATTGCACAAAAGAGCGATCATCCTCTCGGATGGGCTTAAAGACTTAAAACAAACAGATTAGAGCACTGGTAAAGTGATAATGTAGGTTTCACTGTAATTTAACGCAGAAAAGAATAACAAAAGTGGGGCATTCTGCACTTAGAACAATGTGTATTACACACGCCAGACACCACCACACAAAACCTCGCTCACCATTGACCTAATACACTAACATTACATATGAACACATGAAGTCCTAACTGGGCCAGACAGCCTCACACTCTCTCTCACACACACACACACGTCCATTAAAGTGCTTGAAACTCTTGCAGTTTTTGTTGTAATGTAAAAAATAAAAAACAGAAATGAGCAAACTTTTAAAATCCTCTCTAATAGGGTGACCTTAATCCCTAAATGAAATTTCAAGCCTCTGCAAATGTGCTGAAATGGACTTGTTTGATCTTTGCAGCAGGTTGATGAACTAAATGTGCAGATAAGACACTGATAGCGACGATGTTTGACTGTGTTATTAGCACTTTTATGTAAAGTGATGGGTTCTTGATTGATTGTTTCAAGTGTTTCTACCCTAGTGTTTAATGCTTTTTCAGTCTGTGACGACTTTGATTCTGTTTAGTAAAATAATATTCTTCTTCTAATTGTACAAAAGAATTAAAAAAGTTTATCTAATCTATTAAAAAAAAAAGAGATGGTATGTGTCCGACTTTCCGTCACTGTCGACGTTGAGTTGAGTCCTGTATCTTATATATAGCAACAAATTACAAAAAAAGTTCAAATGAAAAAAAAAAAGGCTTGGTGTGATTACCACTTGAGTGAAAAAAAAATGACCTGTTCAAGAGTAAAGTGGGCAAACAAAAAGATATCCAAGCGTACAGTTACAGAAGTTAAAAAGCCTTTATTCATTCATGTTAAAAAATGTAAATTGAAGTTCAAATTGCGTGGCAGACCGACTCGTTTCAGCTCATCAGAGCCTTCATCAGGGTCAGGTACGAAGAAGTTAGCTCTTGACATGTAACATAAAGCAGGCAGACCATACAGTGTCGCATCAGAAGCAACTACAAAGCAGTCTTTAAACAGGCAAAGAGTAGAATATAGGACTCCAGGTGGATAGCTGTCTTCTGCTTTGAGCAGTTTAAAATCAGGTGAAATGTTGATTATGATAAGGCAATAAAGCAAGTTTCTGAAGCAGTGTAAGTTGTAGTTGACCAGAATGCACTGCAGCCAGAGAATATGTTTTGAGTTATTAGTGTAGCTGCACAGTCTGAGACATGTTCAGTAGTCGACTTGTAACCTTGACAACAAAACTTTTATGGAGTGGTCAGAGGGAGTTTGAATAAAATCAGTAACAGAAGGAAATGTGGGGAGATTGTAAGCTGTGTTGGAAACACTGCTGCGAGTGTTTGTCATGTGTTCAGTCTGACTGGGATGGAGACATCATGGGCTTCTGCCCACTTGGCATTAACCCGTATCCCCAGCCCGTCCTCGTTGGCTCCGTCGCAGTAAGTGTAGGCAGCTCATTTGCATCGGGATGCCTCTGGGCCTTTTATTCTGTGCTTGGTGGATTTTACTTGGTGGTTTGGCTGGAACTTCAACCAGCGGGCCGCCCTCAACACCCCCCCCCCCCCCCCCCTCCTCCCTCCCTGCCTCCAACCGTTCCTTTCACACAGTTGGAACAGATTATTTTCCTAACAGTGTGAACAAATAAATGTTTGTCCTCGTGCTTTTGTTGTTTGGCAGAAATCATCCGAGGCTTTTGTCCTTCATGGTTGTTTCATGTGAGATTTTTCAAAGTGCAGAGAAAAAGATCAAACTTATCTTATCATGGCTTCCTAATTCAGATTATATACAGGTGATTTTCTCTCAACAAAATGCAGGAACAAAAAGCACAAACCCCTGTGAAAACTTAACATCATAGGCATCCTGATTACCTAACTACAAAAGTTTAACTTATCTCCAATGTTGGTCGTATCATTGAGGGCAAAACGTGTTTTTCTTTCTGATGGAGGAGATATGAACGTTTGAATGATCTTTAATTCAGACCTTTCTTCCAGTTGGCAGGGGAAGCCCAGGAGCTGTTCTCGGTACGCCACGGTCCCGTTCGAGCTGCTCGGATTCTGCCAGCTCCTCACATCAGTGAGTATCCAAATGTTTCTACATGTGTAAGGACTGACCCTGATACACACACTGCATGTGATAACTTCAGGCGAGGTCTTGATCAGTATATCTGCATATTATTTTACATTGTTACAGTGTACCTATGTGTGTTCTATGAGGCTGCTGCACAGTTAATGTTTTTTCCGCCTCACAGGCACATTACAGATTATTATTGGTTTTATTTCTTAACTAATAATGACATGAATGATGTAACTCCTTTGAATGTATGGTTAAAGTTGAAAAAAATAAAGACTGGTTCAATTATTAAAGTAATTTGAACAGTAGGGGTGACGTGTACAGGCCCCACGATACGATATTATCTCGATACTTTTAAAAAAAAAAATTTTAAGATTTATTTTTTGGCTTTGTGTAACTTTAATGTAGAGATAGGACAGTGGATAGAGCTGAAAATCAGAGAGAGAGTAGGGAATGACATGTGGGAAAGAAGCCACAGGCTGGATTCGAACACGAGCCACCCGCTTTGAGGACTAAAGCCTCCATACATGGGGCGCGCGCATTAACCACTGCGCCACCAGTGCCCCATTATTGCAATTTTAAACATTTTGTGTTATGCTGAGAATTTCAATTTAACTTTTTTAACTGTATATCAGTCCACAAAACTAAACTGGATCAAGAACTGTGTTGCCAAATAACAAAACATTCTCAGTCTTTTCATCTCACTTCAGTCTTTTGATTTCTACACAAGGGGAGTCAAGCCCACAGACTGACTGACACTGTGATAAAAGTCAAACCCTTTAAAAGCGCCATGCGCCTCACAGTCTGAACTGTTGATCAGTCTAATCGAACTGAACACAACCATGTACGGACGACTGAACAATTTCTGTCATTTTTTATAATGCAACTTGTTCAAAATGAGCTGTGTAACCCCTTCAGAAATTAAAAATGTAAATAAGAATATTCTCTATTTATATAATAAAAAATCGATACTTGAACTGAGCCACAGCCGCCCACACACGGCAGCACTCTGCTTACACTATATTGGACTTTTAAGGGCCACATCCCAGCATTTGTTGTCACACAGAGTTTACTTTACCTTCAGATGATCCCTTTGTTCTTTTTTTTTAAGACCACATTAATCTTTGTAGTCCCTAAAACGTGACAGGGATGTGGCGTTTTCTTTGTAAGTCCTCTGAGGTATCTTTCCAGGATAACTTTAAGACATCTTTCCTGGAAGAAAAAAAAAGCGCTCCAGTTAACTTGATTTCAGCATTCAAGGTCGACACTTAAAATTAAATGTTGTATGCCACATCCTAATGCAGTTTTGGGTTGTGGGCTTTCTAAGTGGCGCTATATCATTAAAATGAAAGAGTGCTCCATGCTGCCTCATCCTCATGGTAAAGTCAATCTACGATTAGTGTTGGCCTGCTCTCAGTCAGCGGTGGAAGACTCTTTGCTGCCAAAGTTCTGCTGGAAACTTCTTCACCGCTCTGCTAGAAAATCTCCCTCTAACTCCCCTAAATCCAAATCGTCTCTTTAAGACACTTTAATATTTTGTTTAGGTAAACATGCATGTCTTGTTCTCTGTTTACATTTTTAACTGTAACTTTTTCCACGTGTTTTCTCAGAATTAGAAATCCTCAAACGGTATCTGGTGCTGCATAATGCTTTCTTAGATTCCCGAAACATCAAAAATTGATCAGCCTTTATATCATTCTGTCTGAAAATGGTAAGGACTTCTTTGTTGGATTCTGCAGCAAAATGACAGCTGCTGTAATGCCAGGAGACATCTCAAATAAAAAAGGAAGAAATCGTTTTTTTTATTAATAAACCAAAATGTAGTGCTGCCTGAAGATCTGTAGTAAATTAAAATGAACAAATGAATGCAGAAGTCGACAAGAAAAGTCTGAAACATTAAATATTAGATTGCAACAAATCATTAATAATAAACCCATTGGGATGCATTGACTATAACAAATTGATGATACTTAACAGAATATTTGAGAAGGTTGTTCCCGCACATCCTCTTCTGCTTTTTATCCCCCTTTACCCTCGTCATTTGCTTCATGAGATCATGACCTTTAAGGGGTCATCAAGGCTACGTTCACACTGCAGCAAAAAGTGTTTGTTTTTTATAACAGTGTGAACAGCACAATTCATCTGGATTCTGATGTTTTCAAATCAGATTTGGACCACTTTCACATGTGAGTCCGGGAAAAATAAGATCTGTGCAAAAAAAATCTGAATTGAGCATTAAGGCTTACAGTGTGAACACAGCCTTAGTGTGTTTCCATCCACATGTTTTATGTGAACTTTATGTGAGCACTTGGCTCAGGTTTTTTTGTGTGATAAAAACCTGCACTGAAAAGCATCAAAGCATCTTCAACCTTGTGACCATATCTTTTGGGAGACACTTGAGTATAGGTGACCAGGCATATGACATATAATGGAAATATAATGAACAGGTTGTTACAAAATTTTAAACAACAAACCTAACTTTAATGTAAAACCATTTTGATTATGTTCTGATAACAACTTTAACAGAACAAATGGCTGTGTCCTTACTCTCTAACTTCAAATAATATTGTAAATATTAACTTGATTCCTCCTAGTGACACATGCTTCCATTTATTATCTGTCATCATCGTGAGAGAGTCCCAGTGATGACTAACAAATGTTTCACTGGTTCCACTGTCTTTGTCAGACACCGGAAAGTTGAGCACAGCATGAATAGCGCTGTTCATATTCTCAAAGCTGCAGTGCAAATGGTCTAGTTGTTCCGCTGATTAGTTCGTTTCCAGACAAGGAGTTTGAATTTCATCTCTGCAGGTGTCAATCAGTGCTGTGAAAACTGCCATATAAGCCCAATGGTTTGTGGCTTTTCTCTTTTTTATTAGTGAAAAAAAAAAATCGCCTTTTTGTTCTCTCTCCGTGTTCCGGTCTTCCGGCAGATTTCAACAACGCACAATGGCAGCATTTGAAGAGCGCTGGAAGTGGATGAAAGCAAACCACAGTAATAAGAAGCAGCAGATAGCCCCAACACATGAGGGAAGCAATTCTCCTCAGCAGAAAATAAATATGAATTGTACTACTGGAGGGAAAGGACACTGATTGCAATCTGTTAGGGCGCAAACAGTGTTGCACTGTGGTGAGCCATTAAAAGGCCAATTGTCCGGGCTGTGAGGACGTGGGTGGGCGGACTCAGAACGACCCGAAAATAGGTGTTGATTATAATACGGCAAGGTTACGGTTTCCTAGAATAGAGAGGGATGTTCTGGGTTTTTCAAAGGGAAGTGAATGCGTTTATCCACATCCTGTGGAGTTTACAACCTATGACCTTCCGTTGTCTTGGAAAACGAGGCTACACTCTTTCCTTAATTCATAATACAGGAGCATTACGGAAAGAGAATATATATTTATAAGTCCTTAGGGGGGGGGCAATATGGTAATATAATAATACTGGTATCACTGAATGAAGCAGTGTTATATAGAATACAAAAAATCAGTGGTTCTTTAACGCTCTATGAAAACTGAATATTGGGAGGGTCTACATGCCGAGCCAGCAGTTTGTATTGGCTTATGTTTAGGTTAGGAATATTTATCTGGGACTAGTTTTCCATAAACCAGTTTGATGGTGAAAACACTGAAGAGAGCAGTTTAACATGGGGCGGCAGGAGCTCAGTCAGGAGCGACTTGTGTTGGGAAAGGAAGGGTCAGCGGTTGAAGTCCAGGTACAGACCAAAATATGGAAGTTGGTCTGGTAGCTGGAGAGGTGCCGGGTCAATTCCCGAGCACTGCCGAGGTGCCCTTGAACAAGGCATAGAACCTCCAACAGCTGTGGCGCACACCCAAGCGTAGCAGTGTGTAGCAGCCCTGCTCTGACATCTGTCTATTAATGTCTATTAATTAATTAATGTCCACAGGTCCTGTTTGTGCATGTGTCTGTTTCAGGCCTGTGTCTCTCAATAACAGAGTGTGAACCTGAATTTCCCTCAGTGATTAATTAAGTATGTACAATAAAATAAAAGTAAATAAAATTAAGTAATCATTGTTTTGCCGACACTTATGAGAGGGCTGCAAGCTGAGCTGCCCCTAACTTTGGTTCAGCTTGTTTCTCTCGTAACTTCCAGTTGTGGTATGACACAGAGAATCCTTCATTCCAAACAAAGATAAATAAAAACACAACCAAAATCTGTCGTTCCACTTAAAAAAAAAAAACTGCTGACTCACCAGCTGTCATCCATTTTTTCTGCTATGGGGTAGGCGTGCAGATTTCTCATATGAGATATATTTGTGCCTTCTTTCAGACGAAGCGGTTATGTTTTGAAAACAGAGCTACACTTTAGATGCTCCCATACTGTCAAAGGAACTGTATGGACTTAAGTATGTTGTATTGAATGTTGCAGGGCATAGTATTACATTATCTAAACACACAGCCATCCCCTCTGTTACATTCAAACATCAATGAGTCCACATGGAAAGCAACAGCCCCTCTAGAATACATGGCCCATTGCAGTAGGTTCTCTCTCCATATAATGTTGTTTTTTTTTCCTCCCAGAAAGTTTATTTTAGTAAACGTGCCATTTCACTAAGTCTCTCCGAGTCATATTTATGCAACGGCTCAATATCTTTACTGGGACTGATGTCTGATGACAGAAACATGAAAGGAGAAAAGGATCGTGTCAGGAGTGTTAGAGGCTGGTTGGGAAGGCACGTTTGCTCTCACGCCATACCACAGGAACTAGGGCTGATTACTGTCAAGCCTCAAATTACAGTCCTCCAAAGGGTAACATCTTTTTCAATCCAAGCGCCCCCGTCCCCTCAATCCCCTGATCCTCTGTCCGTCTTCAAGAATGAGACAATCAAGGAAAAATATGGGATCAGTCAACTTAATGCAACATGTTTTCTCATGGCTTTTTACAAATATGCCTGCTGGGATTTTACCATGGATGTAATAGCCCTGAACAAACAAGGAGAGGTCTACTTGCTTTGCTACACTTAGAAGGAGAGATTTTTGAAATATATGTAAATAAATATTTGGAGAAAGGCAACGCTTTCTGCCTCTGATGCAGTTAAGGACTATTAACAGTAAGGGCACAAAAGCGTTTGTGGGTTCTTGATTAGGAATGTTGCTGACTAACTTACAAAATAAAGCCTCATTTACCAAAAAAAAACCCGTCTTCATCCCAAATGTTTCATGACCATAATTCAATTACAGGGCAACAGTAGTAATGCAATCAGCACGTTTCCTGTCATGGTAATAAGCCGCCTGTTCAGTGAGGGTGAGCAGCTCTTGAGGCCTCACATGTTCGCTTAAAGAATGTCCCTCTTTGTTGTGTGCACATCTTTTCTGTTTCTCATCTGCCTCTCTCTGTGACTGCTCTTCCTCCTCAGGCCCTCTGAAGATTGACAGTTTTGCCGACAAGAGGCCCCTCCTGGGGGTTTGCAAGAGCGCAGGGTCCTCTGGGTGAGTTTGAGCGTCACAATAAAGCTGACATCACCTCCTCTCTCTGCCGTGGTGTTTTAAATGGCGAAAGTCATCTGCTGTCTTTGACCATGTGCAGTCATCTGAGTGCTCCTACCAGACAAGTGATTTTATCTTACTGAAGTGACACTCAAAAGGACAGCAGTAAACAAATGGGTTATGATAGAAGAATGATAATTATGATACTACACTATCAAACTTTAAAGGTATAGTACGTGACTTTCAGAGTTGAAGTCCAGTAGATGTCGCACATGAGCACCAGTCTCTCAAAACAAAACATGGCTGTCCCTTCTGTGCACCGCATCCCCACCTCTCCCACCATTCTTTCAGTGTGACATCGAGTGCGGCCATTTGTGTTTCATACCAAAAAATATGTTTTTTTTTATTTGGAAATTATGTTTTTCTCCTTGAATTACACTCGCAGAACTCCTCCATTATGCCTCTACTAACAGCGTCCTTGAGTGGGCGTGGCTCTCTCTCTTCCCTCACCTGGTGTCAGAGGCTAACAGGTGGACATGGAGGGGGTTCACTTGAAACATGTCTGAACCTCTGAGTGAAACATAAAGAAGTAGCGCAGTCCCATCTCGTATGAACACAAAGCCGAAACAACAATTTACTCCTTACAGAAAGTCTATATTTAGTTGGGTTTCTATCCATGTTGAAATGTCCCATAGTAAACGTTTAAAGGTAAAGATCAGTAGTTTTGAGGTATTATTCTAAATTTGCTCACTGGCTGTAAAATTAAGCGCCGAAAAAACTTGAAGGTTTTACGAAATGCATTTTCCAGACATTGCAAATGCTGTCACTGGCATCTTCTAGTTGTTTGCTAAAGATGAACTGAATGCAATATCTTTGTCTGATTTACAGCACATACCTGGCCTGACCTGCCGATACAGATTTTTGCATAATACCGATTTTCTTACTTTTAAGCACTATCATTGAGAGCAATAGATTTTTGGAACTTTTCTTAAATGGAAATAAATTTAAGGTTCAAAACAAAACACTGACTGAGAAGTACATTTTATAACAAACAACACTTAAATACTGCAGCAGGTTAGAGACCATCTCTATTTCTCACTCAAACTAATCTCCACTAGAAGACTATGAGTGTCAAACACTTAACTACCTGTATATTTTTATGCCATGATACATGATGTAAGTGTTGTGTACTGCTTCACTCTCTTCAGATGAATTCTCCCTGACTCCTAAAGAAACGATCACTTACAGACTCTTACCTGTCTGCCTCTGTTTCTCTCTGCCTCGGTGAAGTGAGTTTTTATTTATGATGTTTATATCTGTTAATTCTCAACATTATTCTACAATATGTCCTACAAAGTGATATTTCTCACATCAGAACAAACTTTCCACTAACACGCTCATACACAGAGGTTTTATCATTGTGTCCACCTGTAACCAGTTTATATTACAGGGGTATGAATTACATAATATTTTAACGACCCGCCATGGGCAGAGAGGTAGGCTTACTTTAAGACAAGAGGTCTGAGTTGCTCCTCCAGTATGTCAAACCTTTTTCACCTCTGCTGATGGGCCGATCATGTCTACACTGCTGATATGTAAGCTTGTTGTGAGTGTGGCCGTCCTTTGGCATTAAATGGCTCTCGTTTGGCACAAAATCATCTATATTTGTGAGGACCAACAGGTCAGAGACGAGCAGGCTGAAAATCGGCTAGTCTGGTCACCCTCTGATCTATCGTTGCACCTTTCATTGTTGCCACAGGACACACAATTTTAAAGTTGATCAGGTTATCAGAATCCAGCAAATTTTTTTTTTTTTTTTTTTTAAATGTCCTGCTTTTTTGCTTTGACAGTTAATCAGCATCTCATAACAGCTAGATGATTGAGAAGAATGAGAACACGATGTGATGAGATGATGCAGAATGATCCAGTGTAACAGGGATGAGCATCGGGTAACTTTCCTGACAAGTGCAAAGAGACCATAAGACAAACACTGAAGCAACCTTTGTGTGCCGTTAGAAAGAACCATGTTCATGTCATTGTTATAAAAACGTTCAAAAATGAAGAGAAAAGTGTTACACTCTTTGCAATATAAAGAACTATAACTACATCTGAAAGCAATTTTCTCTGAATAACAAAAGGCATCAAAGGACACCCAACTTTTTGTTATGAAGCCTCCACAAGCATCCAGCTGGAGCTGAGCCAGTGCATGTGACTGTGAAGCATCAATTTATCGTAAAACTATGGAATCCAATGAGTACCTGAATGTCCCATACGCAGACAAAAACGAGATTAAACAGATGAGTAGATGCCTTGAATTGTCAGAGTTTGGATTGGGAGAGGCATGTCTTTGTTTAGTGAATTTAAAGAGTGACAGACCCTCAGGCATCTTGTACTCGCCTCTCCATACCCGGTCCCTTCCCCTCGTCCGTGTCTCCCCCCCCACCCCTACCCCCCCCATATGCTGCTCCTCCAGAGCAACACAAAATTTAACTCAATATATCCTCCCTGGGAAATGAAATAAGGAAGTCTGTCTACAGCTGGGCCTCGATGGAGACCACCTTCTTGATGTTTTCCAGGGACTGCCGCCCCTGTCTCTCTGACGCCGTTGCCGTGGCTTCTGCTTTTCCTATGTCCTCACTGACATAGAGACAGGCAGCGTTTTGACGGTTTGGCGAATCATCCAGGCGTCGCTCGACACTAATGCTGAAAACATGCGCTGTGTTGAAAAGCAGAAACCCTGACCTCTGGCTGAATGGCACAGCCTGGTTCTTCCCCCTTCAGAAGTGCGTGGTAAATAACACTCTGGTCAGAGACGAGAAGGAAAAAGGCTTCCGGGTGCGGCACAGTACTTTCCATTGAGGATGTTCATAAACTTACTAAGGTCCTCACACAATTTTTAGCATATAATCATTTTGAAATAACAGCTTTTGTTAACCACCAAAAAGGATGCCGTCTTGACACTTAAATGGAAAACAGATTGGAGCCTTGGCTGCTACAGCAGTGCTGGTTTAGAAGTTGGTTCAGTCAGCTCTAGGCTTAGATTACAAGATTTGCAAATTAAAGGAAAACCAGAGAAGGGAAAAAGCATGTGTGCTGAAGCCCTGTACTTGTGGATTTCCAGCCAGGCACACTCAACATAATTTTATCAATGGAAAGGATTATGCCTTAAGTCCAAACAATGTATAGATCCAATGATTTTCTTGACAGTAAAGCTATATATATGCGTCCCTCTCACTCTTTGCACCAGTGCCAGAGGGTTTGTGGAATTAGTAAAGAATGCCCGTACCATTGTAGACTTTGGTTTGCTCAAATTTCTGGAAATGATTTGTTTATCCTTCCGTACTGGCTGTTATTATTGTCATTTATTTCATGTACATCTCTAAAAGTATTACAATTTGGGGAGATTTAAGGCTCCTCTCTCACCATCTCAATGAATGTAAATTTTATGGCTGAGACGGAGGCAACTTAACTGTTTGTGGGTGTTTGAGTGCACACACTTGTTGGGCAAAAGTTCAGTGATGAATAAGCGTGCTTTGTTCTCCAGAGTTTGGGAACTGTCTCTGACATTTCCAACCTCCAGCTTTCCCCTCACAACATCTCCAGATGCTGAGAGGATGTGGTCCCTTTTTCTTTTAACCAATATAGTCCTCTTTCACTGTGCAGATTACTCCTGGATGTGCTATTTCAGGGCTTTGGCTGATGATGATGGATATTCTAAGAAGTGTGCCTGATCACCGTCTAGTCCACGGATACTTTTTTTATGGCTTTCACAATCAGTGCTCCGTGAATGTCACCACTTAAACATGAACATCTTATACTTTCATCTTTTTTAAAGGGGTCTCTTTTAGTCAATCCCATGGGTAGTGTTTTCCTACCAAAATTGTTTTAATTTTTGTGGAGTGGAAAGTCATTTTGAGTGTTATTCGTGCAAAGCTATTGCTATTGTGGATTGAGCAAAACGTGTTTGTCAAACACTTTGATCCATTGTTGGTTAATCTGGAACAAAATTCTGATCAACACTGTATCATCAATGTGAAAGTGTCCTCAGTTAATGTATAAAAGAAAATGACCCCTGAAATTTGTTTCAGATCCTAATCACGAGCATACTTGCATGTTTTTGTTTTAAAAAATGTCAGGTTTTCTGCAAATTCGTACTTAAATAAGGTTGAGTTTACATTGATGTTAGAATGAAGTCATCCACTTTACCAAATAATCCTAACATTACATCCCTTTATTCACCAGATGCACTGAAAAATCTTTGTTTGATCCCTACATAGCTGAGATGATTAGTCATTGGCGGTGTCCAAAACCACATTCATACTATTCATACTTAGTATGAAGTCAAAATTATTATGTAGTACGTTCCAAATTCATATTATGCAATTTTGTGAATTCAAGAAGTACGCAGATGTACACTAGATTGGCTAGATTTTTAGGTAAGATGAGAGAGCTCACTTGTCAGTATACTCAACTGCCCCACAATGCATTGTGGTTCTTCAGTCTAGCCAATGGTGGAGCTCATTAGCCAGCCAACAATCATAAATGAAACAACCGTACTGTAATGTATTTTCTATGTAGTCGAATAGTATTCAAATAACAAAGTAGCTGTGTAAGTAATGAATGCATGTATATTATTGTTAAATTCTATACCGTAGTACAAATCTGCAACATGATTTAGTTATTTCAGCACCCTTTTGATCCCTTTATAGTATATGAAACCTACCAAAGACTGATATTCTTGGGTTTAAAACGCTGTTTTCGGCCAGAATTAGGCCAGCATGTAACTTGTTGTGACACTGCATTTCACTGGAGTCAGATGGACAGACACGCCCATGCTATAACAGAATGAAGGTTGTTGGTGTTAATCTGTAAAATCTTGGCACTTTCAAGCCTGACCTTGCTAACAGGTCATCAAACTGGGCACGGCTCAGCCTTCTGTACCAAGAGGCAAAAAAAAAGGTTCAGCAAAGTCCATTTCCAGGAAAAGATGGTGAAATTAACAA